GAAACTATCTTCAGCTGACAAAACCATGCCCCTGCCAGAACAGGAGGCAGTTCACAGCCACCTGCTGTGAAGCAGCCATATATCCCCACATCTAACAAAGAACTCTAAGTAACTTAGGACTGCTGAGAGAAAGAATAGGCTTCCTCAGATAAGGGCACAACAATTGGTTATCCAATTATCTGCGCGCGCACACACACACACACACACACACACACACACACACATAAAACCACCGCCACCACCAATGAAAGAAAAGGAGGTCATGAATTTGAAGGAGAGCAAGGGGGATGGGGCAGCACATGCGAAGTTTTGGAAGGAGGAAAGGGAAGGAAGAAATGGAAATTATATGATTATGTCAAACAAACAAACAAACAAACAAACAGACAAACAGACAAAAAGCCATAACAACTTTAAATAAAACCCTTACAGATCCTGAGAGAAGTAAAATTGACAGGATTTACAAAGCCCCTCCCCAAGGTTAGAAGCACAAGAAAAACAGCTGGGGCAGGAGCCTCTGACCAGCCAAGCTGTCTAGAGGAGACTCCCATGAGCTCTGCTGCCTAGAAAACATTCCTCCACCTGATGAGGTAAGCAAGGCATGTACCAGGGTTCCAGGTTTCATGAGTCATCACCCATACTGGAGTGGGGTTTTCAGTGATGTAGCCACGTGTGAGTCGACTTGAAGGCTTGCACCACCACCACCCAGCATGCAATTGGTTTCTTATCTGGGGTGAATAGATATGTGTTTCATTGATTCCCAAGGAAAAGTTGCATGCCAAACTTGTGTATCTGTTTCTGGCTGGTGGAATGATTGGGAGCTGTCTGAGGATGACTAGTCATTTCAGAATGACTAGTTGAGTGGATTAGGAAGTCCTAGTATGGGTAAATGCTGCCAAATAATAACAAACAGTACAGAAAGAAATCTGTAGGGAAATGAATACAGCAAATTATATGATTGTTTTATCTTCAGAGACTTTCACAGCCATCCTATTCTTCAGTAACCCTGACCCACCAGCCGCTGTTAACCCTCATGAAAGTCTCTCCACCAACAAATTCACTAGAATTCATTGAAGGCTCATGAATCTTTGACATTTTATTGTTCACAAAATAATGTATTTAATGTATGCATTTTGAGCATGTTAGTCTTGCAGTGTTAATATTCTACAAAATAGTGTAGATATAACTTTATAAGTAGAAGCAATCTTACAAACTCATGTGACTCATTTGATTCTGCTGTTTGCTTTATTGGGGTGGTGTGGCATTGAATGTGCAATTTCCCTCAGCTATGCCTAAAATCATACACACCTGCCCAGCTCACTGTTCACTCTTGTAGTTTGGCTGGATTCTACTACACTTATAGTTTCATCCAATGGAAATAACAATAATTTTACTTTTCCCCTTCACAATGGAATTTTTGTTGTTATTGTTGCCTGATTAAACTAGAATGTTGAGTATAAGTGGAGTTAGTGGAAATTCTGGCTCTTTCCCTAGTTAGTTCTTTTTGTTGTTAACATTTGATCATTTATTATGGTAATTTTTCTGGCAGGTATTTTATATAAGACTAAGGAATCACATTTAAAATGTTTACTATTTTTATTTTTGTGTATGTGTGTGTGTGCGAAGTATACACGCACCTGTATATGAATACAGAAGTTTAGATGCTGTTGGTGTGCATGTGGAAATCGAACGGTAATTCTGAGAATCTATTCTTCCCTGTCATTCCAGGATCCTGATTGCTCTCAGATCCTCAGGTATAGAAATGTCTCTGCCCACTGAAGGATGTTGCTGACCTTGGTATATGTTTTTAGTACATCAGTTGTTACTAAGAACTGAAGTTGAACAAATAAGATGGCAGCTTGGAAGCCATGTTGGAAATGGTGACTGATGATAGTTAGAGAAATAAAGGGAACAAGAACACTCAACACTCTAACTAGCTCCTTCCATAAGTTTATTCACACTTGTAACTGCAACCACGGCAGCTGACATCACACCTGCAGAATCCAGTCGACTCTCACAGAAGGACTGGGCTAAAAGACCTCTTCTAAGAAATCTGCAAAGCTACACCAATGCAGAGTTTATGGAGCGGACTGGATCCACATGCACAGCAATAGAAATGACTGATTAAGTGAAGAGGTGCCGGGTCGATATCTGGCAGGTGGAGCTGAGAGGAGGGTGGCCAGTCCAGCTGGATGCTCTTCATGGCTGAGCGGGATGGTGAGTGTCAACAGCCTGGACCTCCCAGATGCCGCAGGGAATAAACCACCACCGAGCTGGGAGATCTGTCAAAGCAGGAACTCAGTTTATTGAATAAAGTGGTCCTTTTTATATGTTTGGGGCAGGGGGCAGGATTAAGGAAGTGAGGTAAGATGACGTAGAGGGCAAGGTTAGGTAGTGCAAGGAGAGGTGGGCCAGTGACAAAACTATGTAACAGTTGCCAGGCAGGGTTGATTTTAAGGCAGATATGCTGAATCACTTTTGCCTGCAAGTGGCGCCTCTTAAATCGAAAGCTAAAGACAGGTCTCCAAACTCAAGCCAGGCTCAGATAAAGCAGCAGGCCTTATCAGGCCCAACAAATAGGAAGCCTACATAATGGAAGAAAATGTTTGTCAGCTATATATCTAATGGAGGATTAATACCAAGAGTACCAAAAGGACTAAAAAAAAGTCAAGAAAATAAACAACCCAAGATAATAGGTTATAGATCTGAACACTGTAAATAAATCCTTTTCAGTTTTTTTTTTTTCTGTTATTTTTTTTTTTTTTCTGGTGTTTGCCATATCAGGAAAACGCTAACACAGAGTACCTACATTGCAGTGATTTAAACTAGTATTGAATTTAAGCTTAAAGATAGGAGAAGAATGTCAGATACTTTACTTCTTCACTGAGAATCAGAACCAATAACTCATATTCTCATTATAAATGGGAGTATTTGCTGCTACGAAGTAGATTCACAGGTAGGGATCACATTTCAAAACATCATACCATGCCACTTTCGCTTGTAGGTGGGGCCGTTTGAGTAGCTTTTCAAATTACACAAAACAGAATGAGGTAGATACAAAGCAGGTGTACCTTGTTCCAAACTGACTAGTATATGAGGCTTTGAACCATGGTGGAGCAATGAAAAAGTAGGTGATATGAACCTTTGAGTGCAATATACTTACGTTAAGTGTGTTTGTCTAAAAGGGGTATGATTCCGTTTTGGTAAGCCTCTGAGACACGGAGGTGTATTTCCTACAATATAGTCATCGTACATCACTCCTGATTTCAGTCCTCATTGCCAACAATAGTCTGAAAATGTTAAATGGAAAATTTCAAAAATAAACAACTCATAACTTTTAAGTTAGTGTCATGTTAAGTAGTATGATAAATTATTGTGTCTTCATTTTTTCTTCCTTGGGACGTGAATAATTTTATTCAGTGTGTTCACAATGTACATGCTAATCCCTTATTATTACTCATTGGCCATATTGTCATCAGATAGATAGCCATTGTGTCTTAATGCTTTTTATTTGAGAAGAACTAGAATGTCTGAACATTTTAATGTCTTTTCATCAAGGTCTCAATTTCATTTTTAATTTATTTACTTTTTTATTTATTACAGTTTATTCATTTTGTAACCCAGCTGTTGTCCCCTCCCTTCATCCCCTCCCAATCCTACCCTCACTTCCTCATCTCCTCCCATGACCCTCCACTAGTCTTCTGATAAGTGAGGTCCTCCTCCCCTTCCCTCTGACCTTAGCCTTTCAGGTCTCATCAGGACTGGCTGCATTGTCTTCCTCTGTGGCCTGGTAAGGCTACTCCTCCTCAGGGGGAGGTGATCAAAGAGCCAGTGAGTTCATGTCAGAGACAGTCCCTGTTCCCATTACTAGGCAACCCACTTGGACACTGAGCTGCCATGGGATACATCTGTGCAGGAGTTCTAGGTAATACCCATGCATGGTACTTGGTTGGAGTATCAGTCTCAGAAAAGAACCCTGTGCCCAGATTTTTTTTTTTTTTGGTTGTGTTGCTTTCTTTGAGGAGCTATTTGTAGGTTTTCTGTTCTGAGAATTCTAATTCCACTTATAAAACTATTTAATATATTTAAAACTGCATATAATTTAAATTAGGATTTTCAGTGAAAAATACAATTAAGGAAACCAAGGCCATTCCACATCCACATTCTCCCAACTATAATATAGAGACATAAAATTATAGATTTGTTTACAGCTACTTATAGAACATAACTCTTTAAGTACACAAGTGTCTAAAATAATGTAATAATATTTCAGTTTTATGTAGTATATGATTTTAAATATATTTATAGTTAATTTAAAATTTTTGATTCAAAGCACAGCATTTATTTAGGTCTGCAAACACAAGATAACTTTCCATAAGTAAGTTTAAGTTGTAACTTCACATTATAGAGAGAAAAGATGTAAGATAAGGCACGCTACACATATGATTGGTTGCTACAGGAATATGCAATGGTGTTTGTGTCTACTTGTCATTCATTTCTACTGGATGTTCACAAATACTGACTTCCTGGTACATGTCAGTGTATTTCGTGGCATTCATACTCAAATTACTTCTTAAAAATTAAGTGAACAGTTCTTTATGGAAGAATTAAAATAATTCGAGGGACGCTACTACTTCAGTGTTTTGGAAGTACCCATCAATTTTAAATAGGTGGAACCTGTTCCAAGCTGACAAGCCTGTATTTTGCCAGCACAGTGAATCACTTACACAATATTTCTTTGAGGAGCTGAATGATTTGAAATCTTGTAATTTCACTTTTATAAGTATTAATTACTGCTTGCAAATAGCATTACTCAAAAGAGGTGCATTTAATTAATCCATCTTAAAACATCAGACAGTGAAGAAAGCAAACGAGAACTTTTTCTCACTCGGTGCTATTATGAATTTGAGTATATGTACAAATACATTTTCAGTTTTGGCTGTGGTAGAATTGGTCTTGTTATCTCACTAGGTGTACATAAAAGATTAGGCGATTTATGTGAATTAGAATAAAATAGCTTTATTGGAAGACAGACACTTCTGAAATCGGTACAAAGCAACAAAGAAGTAATCTGGAAAAATACATGTGCGTCATTCTTAATAAGCATATACAGTACATATAAAACTTTACTACTCCCTTTTTATAACTGTCAAAAGTTTCTTTCCTGAGGTTTTTCGAATCCATTAAAAATTTAAATTAGGAAGGAAAAGGAAATCATCTTCCTTGCTTTGAGGTTGAGCTGTGAATCCTCAGTGTTGGTAACAGTATCATTTTTCTACACATCAGACTTTTCACTGAGACATGGTCACACTGGAATTCATTCCCTAACACTGACCCCCAAATACACCGCATCTTCAAAGAGTTGAAATGTTTAGCTTGCAGATCATGTACAAGCTGTTATTACTAAATATTTCCATTGTAAAGGAGCTTTCCCCTTTTGAAGTGCAAACATACAAAGTGAATCATTTAAAATCTGCTTTGATTTAAATAACAATTCAAGTATCTCCTCTAAGATGACTTTCTGAAAACCATTAATATTTATGAGCCACAGTTATAAACATGTTTTCTAAAAGGCAGAATACCTCTTGAATATCCTTTGTTTTGTCCATAGATTATGTAGGTTATAACGCAGTTTTTGGTTTGCTCTGTATTTTTCCTAGCTTATTATACATCTTTATCCATACATTTAACCAATCATTTGGAAAAATATTAACATCAGCTACATGAAGGTAGGTTTCATAATACAGCATTTCATTGAAAAAGCTATATTACTAAAGATACAGTCTGAGTGAGTCACATGTGCTTATTTTCAGTTATAGCTGATGCTTAAGATGTTCATGGAGCGTTTTCAATAGATGGAGAGATGTCGTAGTCATGAAATTGAATTCCTTTAGACACTGTGATCTTCATAATGGCACCATTGAGAGCATCATCTTCAATGAGTGTTATTAAGCCATTGGCAATGGTTGATGGACTGAAAAAGGAAGGAAACATTTGCATTTTGAAACTAAAGAATGAAACTAAGTAACTTCACATAATTTTCCAAAGCACCTGGTCATGGGGAAACATAGTTCATTACATTGTTGTTCCTCCCATTTTTATTCATTGAGATGATAAGTATGTTAAATAATAAATTTAGTGATCATTTGGAAATGTATTTGAGATCATTAATTATATTGATAAAAATAATCCTTTTCTCATCTGTACCAGATCAGTAGACATGAGACTTCCTAGATAGAAACATCATTGGAGGAGAAACAGAATTAACTAGTAACATTTATTGAAGATCATTTTTACCAATTGCCATTTTAAGTACAGTCTGTGTATCACCCTAGTTGTCAGTCAAAGATCCCTAAATTTGTTCTATTATTCCTTTTCATGTGAGAAAACTGGTGCTATCTGAGGTTTTATGGATAAGTTCATGGGTAGTGGTGGAGACAAAGCTGAGGTTTGACCTTAGTTCTGATTCCTTCAACTCAAGAGCTGCAATTCTGGACTGAAGAAACAGCATCCAACTCATCTTGCGAAAGCCCCATCTATCCTATCCTATCCTATCCTATCCTATCCTATCCTATCCTATCCT